TAGAGGTAGGGTAAGGGGTGTGGTTAGGCATTGAGCTGTGATGGTTAAGGTTAAGGGCTAGGGGAGACCATTGTGTTTGTGTGTGTGTGCGCGCAGGAGAGAGAGAGAGAAAGAGAGAGCGAAGGAGAGAGAGAGAGCGAGAGAGGCTGCTGTTAGGGATACAGCAGAGTGAGGAGGAGAGAGACATTGACGGGGATGCTGACAGATTCCTGATACATGGATAAAATGGCCAAAGCTTGTTCGACCCTAGAGAGCCACCAAAGTGCAGCAGTGTAGGTCGGAACATGTAACAGCTGAACCTGGACAGGCTATCTGTGTGTATTTGGTTCCCCCCCCCCCCCCACCCGGTTCTCCTCACCCACCTTTGTTTCCTACTATTTTCTATGAGTGTGGAAATGGCATCCACAAGACATCAGCGCTTTGTTCCGTGTTTTTTGGGAATACTCCTGACTGCTTTAATTGGTAAGCATTATCTTGCTGGCGGAGAGGAGAGCAGGCCTGGTGCTTCGGGGTGTGAAAGCTTTGTGGGGGATTACCGCTGTCAGCTCGCTGCTCCCCGGAGCCTGGCGCATGTTGCAAGCAGCAGTGACCGATAACCCTGAACTTGGACCCATCTCCGCTGTAGTATTTCGTTAGAAAATGCCAGTGTGGAGACTTGTGCTGCAGCTTCGTGCACTGCCAGATTTGTAGCTACCTATCGGTTACTGATATGTTCTGTATGTGAAGTTATATTCTGTGCATTCTGCAGAACGCGAGAGCTTGAAGCAGGCTATCAGTGTAGTTCCACCGCTTCATACACAGTAGCCTGTGTTCAAATCCATATGGTTTTGAGCTTCTTTATGTTCAGACAGCACGTAATAATACACGGTAGCCACGTGCAATGGCAGCAGAGTTTCTGGGTTGTTTTCATATTTAATTTGATAAGAAACCAAGTGTTCCCCTGAAATGTGTTCAGTTGGTGCTTGGAGGAAATTGCATTATTTGTGTTACAGTGGTTTTAAGTGGTGTAGAAAACAATTCACACTGGTGGATTTTTAATTGGTAGGCAACCAGAAGTGAGTTTTCAAGTTTTCTTCAGGGCTGCCTTTTATTCAGGTGTCTCAGTAACAGTAAGGATGCAGACTTACAGCAGCTTTCCCCATGTTATTGTTAATCACATAGTCTCAGTATCATTAATTCCGCACCAAAAATGAGGATGTACAGCATGTTTAATTGAGCTTTACTGCTGCCTTTATCTACTAAAAGTGATTAACACATCTAGTTGTATGACCTAACTCTTCAAGCTAACTTTTAAAAGTGATGCTTTCCTAAGCTGCTGGAGTTTCATTTTATATGAGGAGACTTGTAAAGCAGTTGGAGTTGTTGACCGGTCAGTCCGTACAGCACACCGCCCTACGGCTGGGTGAAATGACAGTGGTTATTGCTCTGGGGATAAATTAAAAGACACTGGTTATTGTCTACTGGGGAGAATATTTGTACAGATTAAATGTCAAGACTGTCCCTCTCTTCCTTTTTCAGTTTTCTTTTTTGACCCTTTGTTCACCATGATAGACAGCTTCTCTCTCTATGTGAGGCCCCTTAATTCAAAGGCAGGAGATAGTATTGAGTATTTGCAAAGAATATCACACAGAGACCCACAAAGACCCCCGCTGGATTCATAAAGGCTAGTAGTGGTTCATAATATGTTCAGTCAGGGAACAAAAACTTCAGAAACATAGCTCTGTGATGGATGTAATTCCAATCTACCCACCACATTAAAGAAATGAAGCTCTTTCAAGTGCTTGTCTGCCTTGGAGATTAGATTCAGTTTAGATAAGTGTTTTTTGACACAAGCAACAGAGGTACTAAGAGGAGTATCAGCAGTAGATGTCCCAGAGACTGAAGAACTCAAAGTCTGAGGCAAAAACATAAAAGATCAGTCAGAAGATCTCCTGATAAGACTTTTTGGTTTATCAAAAGGCAATTCGTTCCTTTAATGGATTGACTGAGTTACATTGCGTCTTTCAAGCTTAAGTTAAAGAATGTGAGAGAAAATACTGGGACCTTAATTACTGTTTAGGTTCCTGCTTATTAAAGTCTCAGTAAGCTCACTTATGTTAATCCAAAGCTACCAGGATGCATTTGGTTTATTGTGATTAGTATTAGGACTGTTACAGAGATATACTTTACTGTTACAGAAGTGTTGACTGTGGAGAAAATGTCAATAGAACGACTATTACTCAGCATTAATGTGCTGCATTTTGCTCAGTTCTGAGTAACTGAGTTGCTGTTAATATAATAAATACTAGAATACTCAAAACTACATGATTATAAGAGTAGGTAGAAAAGGTCAAATGTGCATGCATCCCTCATAGAACAAATAATGTTTTTTTTACCCAGACATTATAGGTTTTATAAACTGAAAGGGAACTGGATGCTCATCTATACTGGAGACACTCTGGTGTTTCATCCATACATGCAAACTTTGTTTAATTGCAAGATCTTTTGCTGTGCATGCCTGAATGCTCAATTCATTTTTAAAACTGCCTATTTAATACTCGTTATTCATGTGGAACATAGGTGGCATGCATCCTTTCCTTCACTTTCAGCTGCTTCCAGCTACAATTCAGTGCTATTAATAGAGGATAAATACACAATCCTTGTCTAGCGTCCAAAACATTATTCTCCATCTCAAACAAACAGAAATAAAAGCAAATCTATAACTAACAGTATACTCCTGTAACAAAATATTAATTAAATGTATACGACTATTTTACAACTATGATTGATCATTTAAGTCAGTTTTCGAGAAAACCATCAAAATCTGTCTGATAAAATAAGATATTTACTGACATTTCTCACTGTTTATGGATGTTAGTATTAATCGACAGTCAACAAATACTTATTTGTTGCACCTCTAGGCTATAGTAAATCTGAGCAGTAAAAAGAAAAAACTGTTTTCATTGGACTATGAAATGACCTGATGCCCAGCAGTTGTGTCAGTGCTGCCTGTAAGAAGCCTGTGTTGTCCTAAGCTCACTTAGCTCTGTCAGTGGTGCTCATGTCTGCTAACGTCACCTGTCTGTCAGTAGCTGTTGTGTGATCCTCTCTTTACGGTTGCAGCAGTAAACCTCTGTGCCAGCTGGCCACACTTATCTGTCATAGTAAGCCAAAGCATGAGCCACACTTAAGTAGCATTTCCCTCTGCCTCACCTCCTACACGCTTGTGTCTCCTGTCTCTGTATGGAAAGAGCAATAGGATGTGTGTGTGTGTGTGTGTTCATCTATTTGTTTGTCTCCTTATCTAACGGTGAAAATCCATGCCTATGTGGATTCATGTCAGTGAGTATGTTTCTGTAGATAGACATGTTCTTGTCGCTAGTTTCTACAGCTGTCATCCTCTGTCCCTTTGCACACCCTCTGGATGCTCAGCATTCACAGACGGCCTTAACCTAAACCAGCTCCAGCTATCCTTTTTCTTTCTTATGTCCTCTGTCTTATTGGTTCTGATTTGGTGTTGTGTTCAAAACGACCTTTCTCACATCGTTCTTTGTACCCGTCTACTCACCCACAGCTCAAAATTGCATTAGCTAGTCCCCCTAGCAACTGGCTTTATTTATTTAGACAGCCAAAGCCCAGTAGCATTCACATTGTTTTAGCTAATGAATGAACTGATTCATTAAAGTCATGAAGAAGTATATACAACATCAATTAAGACATTTTATGGACTCCAAATCAGTGACACTGTAACACAGTAAACACTGGACTGTTATCTTTTGTGCCACAAGACCTGATAACACTATCAGATGTTATTTTACTAAGTCACTGATATATTTCATCGACACAAAGAAAGGCTGAATGGTATATAACACTTGCTTCTGTCTGAGAATTATCCATGATCAAAACATGAAGTGGGACTGACTGCACGTGTGGCTGTAGGCTTGTGTTTGCTGCTGTTTTTTCACTGCTGGCTGTTTCCTGTGTGAAAACCAAAAGGAGATGGAGCTTCTCTGGCCAGCATCATTTTGGAGAGCAGCTGCCCAGGCAAGCGGGATCACCACCTTCCTGCTAAGGGTTAAATATTTCACCACCACCTCCCCCTTTGTTTTTCACAAGTGGCAGCACTGATTCCATGGCCATTTTACTTACCATGCTTGTTGGGTGAAGAAAGGGTAGGGGGAGGCACATAAACCAGGGATACAGAACTAGAAGAGAGGAAGATAATGTTTCTTTGCATTATACTCCTTATGTGATCTTCATGGAGGAGTGTGTCAATGAATTTCTCGGCTGCACCTAAGGGGAAGTATTCCTCGGCTGGAATTTGAGGGATGAAGCTAGGGGTTCTCTCTTTTGACCCTTGCGCTTTGCCCTTTGCTAGCCCCCTCCCACTAGATTCCAGGGCCTGGGGCAGAGACTGGTAGTGGTTAGACCATCAGCAGCTGAAACATGATACCCAGAGAGCCTGCTAAGCTCCTCTTTTATAGTACCAAGTCAGGTCAGGCTGTTTACATCCTTTATATATTGCTTTCAAACTCCTCCATCTTCACCCTCAGAGACCACAAATACAGAAAACCAGATCTCCTCACACCATTATAATGTAGAAAGCATCACTACAGACAAATACCACTGATGTAGTCAGAGAGTATTTTATGTTGATGAGTGAAGAAGAAAAGAGAGCACAGTGATCACAGTACAGCACATACAAGGCCATGCATGTGTGTATTTATAGTGTAAGAGTACACATGCTCTGGGTGCATTCAGTTTGTAGCCTCTGAATTCCCTTCTGGCTGTAGCCTGGAGGTGGCTCAGTTAAGGCTTTTTATTGATGAGCTGTAAGGCCTGGCGTGTTGTTGCTATATCAGCGATATGACAGAAGGAGCCTGTTTGTTTAAATGTGAGGCTTGGCGTGAGAATGATTATTTGGAGTGCAACTGTTGAAGTTCCTTATGACCCTGGAGCATACAGAGGAGGTATAGAACAGATTAATGAAATTAGCTATATGTTTATGTATGAGAGATCACATAACCTGTGTTTGAGCTTATTGCACTGGCCTCCAGTAGCTTTCAGAAATGATTTTAAGACTTTTCTCAGTCAAGTTCAATAAGGAAGTGCAGAAAACTGAGCCCACCCTTTTCATAGTAGTTACTGTAACTTGCTTTTCCAAATGAAACTGAAGTTAGTAGGATGTCCAAAAACAAAACATCACTGAGATATTGTAAAAAGCAAATTCAGAACAGTCAGATAGCCATACACTCACATTTCTTCTGTATAAATATAGAGTGGATGCCCTTGAAAATTCTGGGTCAATAGCTACAGGAATTTGACTCTGACCTTTTAAGAATGAGGGTAGTATGGACTGCTAGCTGAATAATAATTAAGTCTTTAGCGATCACAGCAGTAAATTTAATTTGAAAAGCAATAAACTAACAAGAAAAAGTAAGGGGAAGCAGGGCAACCCTATTACATGCCCTTAGGTTTGCTACATCTACGAGATCTATTGCTGTATATCTACAACTATTACAGAGCCCTTACTCTTCTCTATAGCTTTTGAAAAGGATCTGAATTAAATTAATTTACAGCCTGGAAAATAAACTGATGTTCTGCAGTATCAAATGCCTTATGAGAACCTAACAGTAAGATTTAACCATTGTCATCGATGAGTTCTGAGCAAACCAAAATATCCAGTAATAACCTAATATTATTTGCAATACAGTATTTCTATCTTTCATAAAGCTGAAATGCAGTATTACCCGTCATGCTAGTGAGCATAGAGGGAGATGAAGGTAGAGAGGTGGGAGAGAGTGGCACCCATATACTGCCTAGGCCTAACTATCTTATAAAAAGAATTCTGAAATCTGACCATGACAACTGAACTAACTCCATCTCCTGAAGAAAAGTATGAAATGACCAGATGAAAACCTATCAAGTGGACTTTGAGTGAACCAAACTAAATAAAAGTAGAAAACAGTCTGTTAGGGGGTTTAAAGTACTGTACTGCTGTACGTGGACATCAAGAATGGACATCCACCTCATCTATATTGTTCCTGTGTGTGTGTGTGTGTCTCTTCAGGTGTGATGTGCGAAGCGGAGCTCTCCTTCACCCTGGAGCCCAGTGATATCATTGCTGTACAGGAGCAGCCGCTCATGCTCCACTGCCAGGTGGATGGCATCCCTCCGATTACGACGCAGTGGAGACGTAACGGCCTCCTTTTAGCTCAGGACCAACATCATACCACCTTCATCAATGGCTCACTCCTGATCGGTCATTTCCAGAAGACCAAGTCTGATGGATCGTCTGATGAGGGCGACTACGAGTGCATGGCCCAGAATTCTTTTGGGCTGGTGGTGAGCCGTAAGGCTCGCATTCAGGCAGCCAGTAAGTCTCTCCTGTGATCTTTGTCTTATATATTTTGAGAGCTGCTTTTGCTTTTCATCAAAGTTTAACACTGTCAAGTAAATAGGTTTAAATGTACGTATTTCTTAAAGTTGTATTAATCACCTGATACACAGTGTTATGAAATTGTTTTTATGGTTATGTTTAGGCACTCGCAGTTGGTTAAGGTTAGATAAAACAGAACATGTTGCCACCACTGACTGTATATAAAAGATGGACAAACCCACTGTGACATCACCTGTTGGTTTTCTGCAGAGCGGTTTTGAAGCTCAAGTCTGGCCATTGCCATATTGATGGAGCTTCACTCCGCCTCCTACGGCTAATCCAACAATGGCCATAGAGAGTGGAGCTTTGGCGGGATCCTCCCGTCTGTCAGTCAAAGTTGCCATGCCCTTAATTAATGTGTAACTTTTAGTCTCATTATAACTTAAACGGTCGGGTTATATGAAAATTCAACCCCCATACAGTTGTCACAGAAGGGGAAATTAGCTATAGAGAGCAACATCTTTTTTGTAACAAGCTGTAAACATTTATTTCTGCTGTAAAGTTGAGCATTTTAACATAGGAATCTATAGGTACTGACTTCAGCCAGCCTCAGTTGGCCATTCATGGAACTACAGGTTTTAACTGGCTTCATTTCTCCACCTCAGAGGTTGCCGTTTGGTTAACACTGACTTAAAGGACTGTTTCAGTGATTTTGCAATCCAGTAAATCAAGTCTATGTCACTTGAAGCCAGAGCATACTGAGGAGGAGGTGGAGCTGGGGTGAGCAGAGAGAGACAAGGAAAGGACAAGAAGAAGCAGGAGCACCTTCACGATCAGATCAGATCAGATCAACCAGATGGTTGATCTGATCCTTTAAGACACAAGGTTTATTTACACGTACCCAAAGCCATGACCTTTTCCTAACCTTATCTAAACTGCTTTTGTTGCCTAAATATTACCACAGACAGGATTGTGGATGCAAACACTGGTCCCTGGTGACACAGTAGTGTGCTTTATTTGGCCACCATCCACTGCACCCACCTCCTGGTGATGCCACTCGCTTTAATAAATGTAGTGCTTCATTCATTTATTTAAAAAAAGTTGCCTCTGAACACAATCCAGCTAGTGATTACTTTGCCACCACTGTCACTGGGAAAAAATATTTTAGTAATATTTAAATGATATTTCTAGGAGACAGGTTTACTTTGATTATGACTGTTATATTTTTAGTAGATTATGATTGTGTTATCCTAAATGATCTTATATTGAGATCCCAACATATGAAATTATCAGTATGTATAAGACTCATGATTGAACACACATGACACAAGCAGAAACCGCAGGAAGTTCGGTCCCAGTCATCGGAGTATTGCCGTGCATGTAAATGTATTTAATATCCCCGGCTGTGGAGTCATTTGAATATTTTAATATCGTTCTTTGAGGATAATGAACCTTCTGATGCTCATCTACAGTGCTGCTTAGAAATTCAGGCCTTTGAGTTTAGCATTAACAAGCACTCATGCTGAGAGTTTCCAAGCTGCTTTGTAAGAGCGCAATAAGCTTGAAGCTACCCAGCTGCACACGCCCCCGGTAGGGGCGCCAAGATAAATTTTCTTTGGCTTGACCACCAGATCTCATATTTGAAGCGATTCTAGCTCAGCGTTAAGTTCCCAGCATTGTAGCCATGGTTCGGTTTTAATATTTTTAGCATATCACAGTGAGGCAGTGTAACTCTCTGTCCTCCTTTCTTCTCTTTTGTCTCACACACATACAGCACATCTCAGCTGACTTCAAATTAAATGCATTTGGAATGTGCACATTCCTCTGTGGACGTTGCAGCAGCTTTAGTGATGCTGCATTGTTCCACACTGTGCTGAGTTAAGGCTTTTTGAAGGCTCTGTTATATATATATTTTCAGTAACACAGAGATGGACAAAGGCTTGCAGAAGCCTGTTGATTCCCGGGCTGTGTGTGTAGACAGTATACTGCTGTGCTGTTGTAGCCAATACAGCTTTTCCACTCAGTGGGGTAGGGAGGCTAGCATGGACGTCTCACTGGCCAAAGGGAAAAGTCACTTCAGCTCAGCGGCTGCTGCTGTCAAACACAACCTTTCAAGGCCTCACCAGAGGGTCTTTATTTTCAAAGGTCAGACTGTAGATGCAATTTTAGCACATTTTAAAATTCTGCATCAAGGTGGTGTGCACTCAGTTTTTATAAACAAAAAATGTAGCTAGTGTACATCAACCTCAAAGTTATCTTATGCTGCAAATGTTGGTGAGAACAGCACTAGCAAAGTTATATATAGTTTGAGTATCTGATGCTCTGAATTTTGAAAATTGCAACTTTGTAAAGTACAGTGTAATGCAGTGGAGTCATCCAGCAACCCAGTCCTCTGTACATTTAGTCTCCCACACACCACACAGTATTGTCCCCGATTACTCTGTTCCGCCAAAAATTTTATTTCATTGTAATATTTGCAAATTCTAGAGGAATCACATATAGTGTTAAAGAGTTGCAGCATAATATCAGAATGTTGTATGGAAATGAAAACAGGGATTATGCAAGTGTAGAGCAATTCTCCATCAGTCATCTGTTTCTGACACCCTATACAGATTTAATCTCAGTGAATGAACTTTAACTGGAGCACCCTTTGGACCTAGTGGCTCAAATTCAAAAGCATTAATGGTGGAATGATTTTGTTGTGGCTGATCTTTGTGCTTCTGCAGACACGTCCCAGCTCTTCTATCTATCTTATATTGATTAGGAAGGATTTGGCTACAGGATTCCTGAAAGTCACATTCTGGCCCCAACCTCTGACCTTTTGGGGTGTGCCGAGCAGTCTTGTGGCAAAGTGTTGAATGAGTAAAGATTCTGCTATAATGATACTCCGTCTCTTATCTCTTCTATCATGGCAGCAAGGAGCCGTTGCTTTAAAACTAATCCCCCAGAGACCCTTCAAAGAGACTCCCAAGATTAAAAATTCTTACTATATGTATCATTGCCCATTAATATCTTCTGTATTTTTGGAAGATTAGCTATAAAACAGTAATGTTGGTATTTCACTGTGGCTTCGACCATGTTTAAAGCTTTGATTGATTTGCAACATATTTAAAAAGGTTCAGTTCTTTTAGAAGTCAAATTACTATGGCTTTCATTGCATCATTAGTTGTCGTAGTTAGGGATCTTTTACCTGTTGTGTCACAATGCAAAGCCAGTAATTTCATTGCCACAGCTAGGCATAACAGCATCCCTACCTGCGTTGTTTATGTTAGGCTGTCACGGAAAGCTTCCGAGATGCTTGTGTGTTACAGTACATTCTGTCGTTGTTTATGTAAGGCTGTCACAGAAAGCTTCCAAGATGCTTGTGTGTTACAGTACATTCTGAAAAATCATAAAAATCCTTCAGTGCTCAGCTTCTTGCACTCATCAGCCTCCAGGTTCTTGCAGGCCCCTGTTCAGTACACAAGTGTTCCCCTGTTAATTAAACCTCTTTTTATTTGACTGCTTTGCTTTAGGTCTTTAATAAAAAGTCTTATAGAAACAATATTCTAGGGTGATCTGGACAGTCACCGGTCCGTTTCATCCTGTCCTGGCCGACCAGACTTATGCACGGGACAAATTATTTCGGATTTACCATTTTGTTTATGAAGAGAAATGGCCCAAAACAAACATTCTCTCCTTACAAAGGTCAGTGACTAGTGTTTGTTTCTTTTTCTGCTCCAAGTGTTTGTTAATGTTGATGTTCTCTTTGTGTTTTTGAGGTAATTTGCTGTGTTATAGTCCCTTTTACAACAGAGCTCTGACTTGTACCACTGTGATGCAATGGGTGGTGTGATTGCTGAAGCCTCTTTATAGCCCTCCCAGTGGATAAAGCCTCAATCTCACCCTCCACATTACCACCCTCCATAAATTTCACTTTTTATTTGCTTGACAACCATTTGTGTGAGCTCACTGTCGGGGGCTGGTGTAGGACGGACTCCCCGTCGGCCCTCTGAATCAGCAGTCGGTCCAGGAAACACTTTTTTCCTCCTAAATATTATCTCTTTGATGGTTGATTTCTCTCTTTCAGCCTCCCTCTCTTTCCTCTGTTGCTGTAGGACCTCCTCATTAGCTTAGGTTCAGGAAGCTTTTCATCATTTGGATGAATGACAGGCCTGGTACAGTGGACCCGTCCGGGGATCATGCCCCTCCCCCACACCACACCCGCGTCACCAGGCAACCCACCACAAAAGCCCCCCTGTTACAAAATAGCTTTAGGATCAGTTGAAATGACTTGCCTTTGTCTGTTTGTCTGCAATTAATTGGAAAGAGTTTAAGCTTTGTTAGGAAATATTTTTTTAACCATCCCATTCATATGGGGAGACTGCAGTTGACCTCAGGCAGCATTTGAAGAAATTTGCAAACACAATATGAAGTGTGCTGAGCGCAGGCAAAGTTGGTGCAAACATGAGGAACACCAGCAGTAAACGATGCAAACGTAATAACTGTGCATTATATGTGTTATTGACTTTATAGATTGTTTCAGTATTGATATAGCGCCCTTGGTTGCTGGATGATCCATTTTGTGCGTTGTACTCCCATTATAATGGTAGGCTTCTGAATGAGACTTTAATGAAAAAGAAGAACCCAGGGGGGTTATAAAGGATGAAATAGGAGAAGACAGAGGGTGCCTGTAAAAGTGTCTCATTTTATACCCATTTTATGCCTCTCATTTGTGTGAATTTTACTGCTCTCAGGGGTCTAAATGTAAATAAGTGTGATGTCGACCAGGCAAAGTCAAATGTTTATTAGTGGCAGAAGATGAGAAGTTGCAGCATGGTACTTTTCAAAGCTGTGCCACTGGAAGCTCAGACAGACAGTGGATAGTGAGATTGATTTATAGGGAGCTCACATTAGTTTATGTGAGGGTGAATACGTGCATGTGCATTTGGGTCGACAGTGGCTTTCTCTCGCTCTCCGACCTTCCTGCCCCCACCCCTTTAACGGCCTCCTGTTGG